AGTCAGAGAAGAAAAATAAATAAAAGTAATCCAGATCAGAAAACAGGAAGTGAAGCTGTCACTGTTTGCAGATGACATGATACTGTACATAGAAAGCCCTAAAGATAGTATCAGAAAATTACTAAAGCTAATCGGTGAATTTAGCAAAATTGCAGGATACAAAATCAATACACAGAAATCACTTGCATTTCTACATACTAACAATGAAAAATCAGAAAGAGCAATTAAGGAATCAATCCCAGTCACCGTTGCAACAAAAAGAATTAAATATCTAGGAACAAACTTTCCTAAGGGGACAAAAGAACTGTACACAGAAAATTATAAGACACTGATGAAAGAAATCAAAGACAACATAAACAGATGGAGAGATAATCCGTGTTACTTGGTAGGAAGAATCAATATTATGAAATGACCATACTACCAAATGCAATCTACAGATTCAATGTGATCCCTATCAAATTACAAATGGCATTTTTCATAGAACTAGCAAAGTGAAAAGACAACCCTCAGAATGAGAGAAAATAATAGCAAATGAAACAACTGACAAAGGATTAATTTCCAAAAAATGCAAGCAATTCATACAACTCAATACCAGAAAAACAAACAACCCAATTAAAAAGTGGGGAAAAGATCTAAACAGACATTTCTCCAAAGAAGACATACAGATGACTAACAAACACATGAAAAGATGCTCATCATCATTCATTATTAGAGAAATGCAAATCAAAACTACAATGAGATACCACCTCACACCGGTCAAAATGGCCATCATCAAAAAATCTACAAACAATAAATGCTGGAGTGGGTGTGGAGAAAAGGGAATGTTCTTGTACTGTTGGTGGGAATATATATTGATACAGCCACTATGGAAGATGGTATGGTGATTCCTTAAAAAACTAGGAATAAAACCACCATATAACCCAGCAATCCCACTCCTAGGCATATATACCCTGAGGAAACCAAAAAGACACATGTATCCTATTGTTCATTGCAGCACTACTTACAATAGTTAGAACATGGAAGCAACCTAGATGTCCATCAACAGATGAATGGATAAAGAAGTTGTGGTACATATACAGAATGGAATGTTACTCAGCCATAAAAAGGAATGCACTTGAGTCAGTTCTGATGAGGTAGATGAACCTAGAACCCGTTATACACAGTGAAGTGAGTCAGAAAGAGAAAGATAAGTATCATATTCTAATGCATGCATACAGATTCTAGAAAAATGGTACTGAAGAATTTACTTACAGGGCAGCAATGGAGAAACAGACATGGAGAATAGACTTGTGAACATGGGGAGAGGGGAGAAGAGGGTGAGATGTATGGAAAGAATAACATGGAAACTTATATTAGCATATGTAAAATAGAGAGCCAACGAGAATTTGCTGTATGGCTCAGGAAACTCAAACAGGGGCTCTGTGTCCACCTAGAGGGGTGGGATGGGGAGGGAAATGGGAGGGAGGTTCAGAGGGAAGGGGATATATGTATCCCTATGGCTGATTCGTGTTGAGGTTTGACAGAAAACAGCAAAATTCTGTAAAGCAATTATCCTTCATTTAAAAAATTAATAAATTTAAAAAAACAAAGAGATTTATGGTTACAGCAGGTATGGGAGGTGGAGTGGAGGAAGGTGGTCAAAAGGTACCAACTTCCAGTTATAAGAATAACCAACCCCAGGGATGTCAGTATCACAAGGTGACTGTAGTTAACACTGCTATGTGATATGCAGGAAAGCGAAGAGAGTGAATCCTAAGAGTTCTCATCACAAAAAGAAAAGTGTTACCCTTTCATAGTATCTCCACAGGGTGATGGATGGTCACTCACCCTGCTGTGGTCATCATTTCACAGTAAATGTAAATCAAACCACCAAGTATAAGCATTGAACAGTGATGCACGTCAACCATCCCTTAATAAAACTGAGAAAAGTACCGTTTAAACGTGACTGCTACAGAGCCTGGTCTGCCATGGTGCCCATGAGGACAGAGAGAAGGGAGTGGGCTGGGAATATCGAAGCATCGTAGCCTGTTGAGGGGTTCAGAGAGAGGCCTGTGGGGCAGGAGCAGCAAGGGTTGCTCAAGGCTTCTGACTGAGCAGCCCACACCTGAGGTTTGTGAGATCTTAGTTCCCCAACCAGGGATTGAACCCGGGCCCTCGGGGAATTCCTGACAGTGGTGTTCTTGATTGGGAAGGGACGTAATTGGCACAGCAGGCTGGGGGTAATAGAAGTTCTGTCTTAAATATATTCAGTTTAAATGACTGGGCAGAATCCAAAGAGAAGTGTCAGTTGCAGATGTGTGGATCCAGAGTGCAAAAGAGTGGTCCGACCTGGAGGTAGAAACTCAGCGTGTTCCTCATAAAAATGTCATTTAAATCCTGAGAACATTTCAGATCACCTGGCAAGAGAGAGAAAAGAGGAGATAGAAGAGAAAGGAAGAATTAAAGAACAGAATTTTTTAAAAAAGAGAATAAGATCCAGAGGCAAACCTTAAGAATCTACTATTCGAAGGTTGACTGGTGTAGGATGAGCCACATAAAAGAAGCCACCAAAGATGTAAAACTATGACAAATAGACAATATATTAAAAAGCAGAGACTTCGCTTGCCAACAAAGGTCTATATAGTCAAAGCTATGGTTTTTCCAGTAGTCATGTATGGATGTGAAATTTGGACCATAAAGAAGGCTGAGAGCCAAAGAATTGATGCTTTGGAACTGTGTTGCTGGAGAAGACTCTTGAGAGTCCCTTGAACTGCAAGGAAATCAAACCAGTCACTCCTAAAGGAAATCAATCCTGGATATTCATTGGAAGGACTGAAGCTCCTTTACTTTGGCCATCTGATGTGAAGAGCTGGCTCATTGGAAAAGACCCTGATGCTGGGAAAAATTGAGGGCAGGAGGAGAAGGGAATGACAGAGGATGAGGTGGTTGGATGGCATCTCCCACTCAGGGACATGAATTTGAGCAAACTCTGGGAGATAGTGAAGGACAGGGAACCCTGGCATGCTGCCGTCCATAGAGTTGCAAAGAGTCGGACATGCCTGAGCAGCAACAGCAACAAAGATGTAAAGGGAAAACCATGAAAGTAAGGTGAGAAGAGAGTCTAGGAAGGTGGGGGGTCAGCTGAGCTGGATGCTTCTGGAGGGTTTACGGCACACAGTGTCCCTTCCATTACCATTTCAGCCTCTCAACAGGTTTCCCTCCTCCAAGGCTGGGGAAGGTGACATGGCCAAGACTGCTGCTGTTAGAAACCGCTGGTGACCCTGTCCCTGTGTCTACCTTTCTTCTCAGCCCTCGTTCTCCTTGTTTTCCACGAGCCTGCGACACCAGGGCTCACCTGGTCTTCTGTGAAGCTCTCTTCTCCGTTGAGTCTCCATTTACATAACCCATTCCTAGTCCCCCTACTTTTGAAACACTGTTCTCTTCTGGCTTTCCTTTTCCTTCTGCCCCTTAAATGTGTGGGTTTCCTGAGCAGGTGTCCTGCACCCCTTCTTCACACTCTTTGCTCGTGTCTTCACAGAGCTTCCACAGTCACTCAGCACCTGATTCCAAAATCCACATCTCAAGCCAACCTCAAGTCTTAAGACTCAGGCTCTCCTTCTTAATCCCTTGCTAACATGGCTTCCCACGTGGTGCTAGTGGTAAGGAACCTACCAGCCAATGCAGGAGACATAAGAGACAAGAGTTCGATCCCTGGATCAGGAAGATCCCTTGGAGGAGAGCACGGCAACCCACTCCAGTATTCTTGCCTGGAAAATTCCATGGACAGAGGAGTCTGGTGGGCTACAGTCCATGGGATTGCAAAGAGTCGGGCATGAATGAGCTCTCACACACATACACACGGAATGTCTAGATCAGCCACGTACTGATATTTGAAAAGCCATCATTGAAAGTCACTCTTCATCTTTGCTCCCAAACCCTCTCCTTCTTGTTATCGTCTTTCTATTTATGGGGCCACGTCTTCCACTTGGAATTTTCGAATCCTGTTGGTTTCGTCGTCACCTTCCTTCTGGATGATCTATGGATGTGCTGCCCTTGCTCTTCTTCAGCTTGTCTCTTTACTCTCCACCTCGCACCATCTCGCTTCCACTGTTCCGATTCCATCACCCCCTCATTCTCCCAGGTCAGGCTTGCCTCGCCTGTCCTGAAGCACAGCCAGGACTCTGCTCTAAGGCACACAGCAGCCCCTGGAGCAGCTTATCATCGGGGAGACATGACCCAGGGATCATTTCTCAGACACTCCCTGGTTAGCGCCAGTGCAGCTGAGCACACATTCCAAAACCCACCCTGTTTATCCCACTGCTATGCAGCGGCTCATCTGCATCCCCTCCCTGGGCCACTCCATCATCTCTGTCTCTCAAAACATTACCCCTCCTTCAAAGCCTAGGCATGATGACATCTTCCCAACAAAGCTTCTGCAACTCGCCCAAGCTGGTACTAATCTCTTTGAATTTGAGCAGCAGATTATTTGTGCTTTCAGCATAATACCTGTCTTGCCCTATTTTGTGTTTTAATGATTTGTGTGTGACATACTTCCCTTCTTATGCCCTAAATATCTCAGGACAGGAGCTATGCACCTCTCATTTTTGTTCCACTACAAATCAAAACACACACCCTACACACACCAGGCCTTCAGGAAATGCCCGCCAGGGAAATGAGTAGATAGACTTAATTAACATAAATTATTGTTTTGTGTACTGATCTAGTCCTAAAGCCATGGTGCTATCATTCCTGTATCACTGATGGTAATCCACTTACTAATCTAGCCTTTCTTTGAATGCACTTAGGAAAGATGGAAAATCGTGTTGTAAGGGAGGAACAAGTATGTAGGTTACTCCCTTCCTTAGGCAAAGAGAAGTTCTGTTATGTGTCATGGAAAATTAAAGCACAGTAATAAAATGTGCCAGCCAGACTGCTTGAATAATGATTTAGTGGAAACTGTTCTTGGGTCCTGACTTTCCTCTCAAGTACTTAAGCTGCACGTCCTGTTTATTTGTTTTTAGATAACACTGACCACGATCGGTTATGGAGACAAAACCCCCCTGAAGTGGCTGGGAAGGCGGCTGTCAGCAGGCTTCGCACTCCTGGGCATTTCTTTTTTTGCACTTCCTGCTGTGAGTATCTTTGCAAAAATTAAACACTTCCAATTGGATTGTAGAGGTTTACTAGCATGAGCTTTCTTTAAACAGTATGCCCTGGAACATAGCTGTATGTTTACTGGTATCATTTTTCTGATACAATGTTTACTTTTCTACATATAGCTAGTTGGATAATTTATAAAAATGGTCTTCCCTTGGAGACATTTAACCTCTCAGTCAACATGCTCCTAATACATGGAAAATAGGTGTGAAGAGTTAAAGCTGTCCTCCTCTTAAACTGATGGCTCCAGTTAAGTGTGTGAGGTGTGAGCTATCAAAGAGATTCATGTGCCCACGTAAAGTGTTTACCTCTTCGGATCCACTTGAGTGAGAAGCACATGGATTTAAGGGGTCTTTAAAGTGTCAGATGATTTATTGTTTGTGCCATCATTGATTTTTGTTAACCACCAGTTTCTGTACCGTATCAGAATGAAGAGCACACTTATCTTCTCTTAAGCTTCTGATTATTTTCTCCTGAGTGGATGAAGGCTGTCTTTCTGGTTGTTTTATCCTCTTGTGTCTTCAAAGGCAGTTCGTGAAAATATTTATTACAATTTGCCTCCATCCCCAAGCTCTCTCTTTCGCACACTCCACCCCTCGTGGGGGGAAAGGAGCCCAGAAGCAGGCGTGTTAGAGCCGCGGCTGCCGTGCTACTTGAGGAACCACAGCCTCCGTCTTGCTCTAGACACAGGCAGGCTCACCTCTCAGCCTCGGCCCCAGAGACCCCAGGGCACCCCTCCAAGGGGCCAGGGGGTGAGGCCTTCAGCACCATAGCCTGAGGCTCCTGGGGCTCCACCTCTGCCCGAACCCTTTGTCCTTCCCACGGCCAGTGCTCAGCGCCAGGCTGACTGGCTGGTTGCACCCCAGACCACCCAAGGTCAGAGAAGGGTCCCCAGGGACCATGCATGAGCTCGGGTATCAGGTCTCACTTTGAATTCAGGTTTGGTCCCGTGCTCCCCAAGTGTGACTGTGTTGGTTTGCTAGGACTGCTGTAACAAGGTGTCACAGACTGACTATCTGGCTAGACTTATCATAACTCAATTGTCTCATGGTTCTGGGACTTCCCTGGTGGCTCAGATGGTAAAGCATCTGCCTACAATGCGGGAGACCTGGGTCTGATCCCTGGTTCGGGGAGATCCCCTGGAGAAGGAAATGGCCATCCCCTCCAGTAATCTTGCCTGGAAAATCCCATGGACAGAGGAGCCTGGTGGGCGATAGTCCATGGGGTCACATGGAGTCGGACAAGACTGAGCAACTTCACTTTCTTTCTTTCTCATGGTTCTGGAGGTGAAAGTTGAAAACCAAGGAGCTGGCAGGGCTGGTTCTTTCCGAGGGACCCAGAGGAGGGATGCGTCCAGGCCTCGTGGACACCGTCTATGCCCTGTGTCTCCACATTGTCTCCCTCTGTCCATGCCCAGGTTTCCTCTGAAAAGGACACCAGCCACAGTGGGTCAGGGCCCACCCTATGAGCTCACTGCAACTTGATCACCTGTGTAAAGACCTTTTCTCCAAAAAGGTCATGCCCTGAGGTCCTGGGGATTAGGGCTCCAACCTTTAAATTTTGGACACAAGTCAGCCCGTAACAGACCCTGAATACACTTATTAACATCATGTATGAACAACATGTATTAACATCATGTACATGTTAAATAGTTATCGCATCCAGAGAAAGTTTTTGAAGACCAATGATGTAACATAAGTCAAGTATTTGTCACGAAGAAAACGTTCCCAACATGTGGGTGTTTCCTGCTGAGAGAAAGCGGAAATGAGGACAGAAAGCCTCTGTCCATCCAGAGTCACGTGAACCCGGCAACCTCAGCCATGCTGAACAGACACCCACGTGACAACCAGATTCCCTACCAGAAAACACCTCAGAAACAGCAAAATGCAGTCTTGGGCTTTTTTTCCCAAAATAATGGTGCCAAAGACCTGCCGCTGTTGGGTTCAATACTCATCCTGAGGCCACACGTATAACAGCCCATGTGATCCCTCGAAGAATCACAGACACAGCAAAGGGCCACATCGGGGTGACTCACTCGCAGGGCAACAGTGTCCGCTGCCTTCCCGGGAGAGATCAAGGTCTTTCATTACCTCTTTAATTTAGAGCAGAGTCTGATAAGGTGAATTCTGTAGTTTCACACCTCTTCGAGGATTATAAACAGCGATGTGAAAGTAGGCTGGCAGAACAGACACTACACCAGGAAGAGATAATAGCAAGGGATGGAAAAGGGAGCCTGTCAGAAGAGAGCAGAGACAAGTGTTCAAAGGTGTGAAGACCTGGGCCAGTTCGCAGGAAGGTCAGCCGTCTCCAGGCCCTGCCTGCGCCCCACCCAGCAGGTTGCCCGCCTCCATCCTGAAACCCTGGACTGTCATGGCAGAGTCAGTTGTACTGCTGTTAGGTTAAGGGACAGAGACTAATTAGTCATTCTTGAGAAGCTTTCCCAATAATGTGATTATGGTTCTATATGCAGATTAAATCACTTAGTGTTGGAAATCAAAATCTCACTCACCCATAGCATCCCCTCACTGGGCCAAGCAGAGTAGACTTTACCATGGAGAGTTTCACTGCAGCCGAGGTGCTGAGTTCTTACTGAATGAATGAAAGATGGTTCACGTTTACCTTTAATAAAAGAAGAAAGGGAAAAAAAGGTGGCCAGAAACACCAGTATGTCCAGTGTACCTGCCGGCAGCAGTGCTGTCGGATTGAAATTAGGGGAACACGGGCACTTTGCTAAGAAAGTCAGAGTGGATGGTGGGCCTGCCTTCCACCCAGGAAAGAAAGGGCCAAGAGAGAGAAGAGCTGTCCCTGTCTTTCCCTGGAAGTAGGATTTTCTCGTACACCACACAGGCATTCTCCCGCACATCACACAGGCTTGCAGGCCACCACCTCCGCTGGGGTCTGTTTCCCTAAGGCCCCATCCCAGGGCCTCAAGATAAGGAGACTTCTCCAGTATTCTCGGCCGAGAAGCACAAGTGGCGTAAGTCGCCACTGCCCTGGGCGGACTGTCTCCACCTGCGGACCCTCGCTTCTCTCTTGCTGAGAATATCTTTAACCTGTTTGCCAAGTACAGGGTACAAATCAGCTCTTTTAACCTGGAAGATAACAAGGGATAAATATTTTAAATATTTGCCAAGGCATCTTATTTCCAGAACTTCTAAAGCTTAAAACCTCAAAGTCTATCTCACCTTAGGAAATGAATCAAGACAAAACTCAATTTCTGAGCATGTGTCTCTGCCGGTCTCAGTTTGAAGGGATGGCACGTTAGCTATATTTCACACAGCAGGCTTTATTTTTAACAGACTTGTGCTTCGGTGTCTGAGCTGAGGACTGAGGGAGATGGAGGAGGGCTGGACAGGAGCCGTACCCAGACGATGAGCAGAGCCGGTGTCAGGACTGCTGTAATGTACAGTCTGGCTCAAGAGGCCTGCAGCCCACGTTGCCATCTACTAGTGTGTGTTTCTAAGCAATGCCAGCCTGATCTTCACCACATTTTAGTTTGTTTGGCAGGTGCTCAATGCGTGTTATGCAGGGCCTGTCTTCATTTTCCAAAAGGGATTTAACTCTGAACCTCATATTTACATAATGAATGCTCAAAAATAGTAGCCATTGCTGTTAATTAAATTTCTGCAAAAACTAAATTATGCTGCCTATGAGTGGATTATACACATCCATGCATGTAATATAAATACATAATATAAATATATGCTATAAATTCTGCTGTTTCATAGTCTCTTATGTGTTTAAGCTTCATGAAAAATGACATTGAAAGGAAAATAAATAAACCTTCCCTAAATGGTCTTAAGGAGCAGAAGGAAATTTTGGAGTTGTGAATAACTAAGAGTTGCTTTGGATTTGGAAACTGAAGTCCATTTTTATAACCTGTAAATGGAGGGAGATGTTTAAATCCACGAATAAAATCCTACAAACCAGGTTTTCATAAAGCTTAGTTTGTTCAGTCACAACCTGCGTGAGATGAAAACCTCAGACAGCAGGAGACAGTCGCTGAGAAAGAGCGATGGAAAACAGACCCTGTGACGTCGTTTCTAATTTCACAGCACAGCCTCGCGTCCTGATTGATGAGGGAGTCCGTCACTGCTCATTAACAGCAATAGTATCACCGTATAACTGTATTTAAACATAGCTGCGTTATTTATTACCTGGTTGTCATCACAGAGGTACTCAGAATTGTGGAATCTCAAGATAAGTAGAATTCTCCAGTACTCTTGCCTGGAAAACCCCATGGACAGGGGAGCCTGGCAGGCTATACAGCCCACGGGGTCTCCAGACTCAGACATGACTTAGCGACTAAACCACCTCAAGATAAGGAGGAAGATTAAAGGTTATCTACAGCCCAAAAATATCCTCATCAAGTTGTCATCCACTGAGACCTAACACGTCCCAAGGATGAGACACACCACCCCCTCCAACAGCCCTTACTATCTTTGAGTGACTTCAAACACATAAAGAAAAGAAAAACAGCCGTACCTTACCTATGGCACGGAACTTACTTACAGCTCGTAAGATACCCGGCTGTAACCTAAGGGTTAAATTCCTTGAAGTTTAATAAAAAGCTAATAATTTATACCTAGCAAGTAAAATCCCAGACTCGAAAGCAGAGGGGCTCTGCTTCCCACACCAATAAAGTAGAGGCTGAGAGACAGCCCAGAGACTGGACTGAGTGAACGCTGAAACCAAGCTCAACCTGGGGCTGACATGAAGCATCTTGATTCCACAAATTTAGACCAAGGCCAACTGAAAATAGGGGACATATCAAGAGAGCAGGATTTTGGCAGATGGAGACGATATGCAGAAAAAGGCAAACCAGCCAAAAAGCCAGTATAAACACAGAAGGATCAAGCTAGTTTTACCAGCTCCCAGACCTAATGGGTGAGCCAGAACCAAGAAGGCAAGGCGTGCTCTGAGTGTTAAGACTCTGAGGATTAAGACCCAGGAGAGGGGCTTCCCTGGTGCCTTGGTGGTGAAGAATCTGCTTGCCAGTGCAGGAGACAGGGGTTCAATCCCTGATCTGGGAAGATCCCAGGTGCCAAGGAGCAACTAAGCCCGTGTGCCACAGCTACTGAGCCAGTGCTCTCGAGCCCAAGAGCTGCAACTACTGAAGCCCACGTGCCTGGAGCCCAGGCTCCACAAGAGGAGCCTGCAATGAGAAGACCAAGAATGCAACTAGATAGTAGCCCCCACTTGCCACAGCTAGGGAAAGCCCTCACAGTAATGAAGACCCAGTGCAAACAAAAACTAATGAATGAGTGAATTAATTCACTTTAAAAAATAAAAACTCGGGAGAATAAGTATGTGCTTTTGCATTGACCCGCGCTCTCATCTTTGCTGGACAAATAGGCAAAATGGAAACATCTCCAAACCTGAGTGTCTGTGTGTCTCATCTAAATAACTGTCCTTCCCTACTTGCTTTCCTTTGGTAGGTGTGGAATTGTAGCATCATGAACAGATCTTAAAATTTAATAAGATCATTCCCCCACCCTTTCATGAACGGAAAGTATAAACTGTAGTAGTTGCCATCAACATGCTAAAATAGCTCCCTCTTCCACATCCACGAGACAGTAACAGCTCCAGATTTTAAATCCCCCTCGTCTGTCACTGGATAGGCCTGTTTTCTCTAACTTAGGTGTAAAGAAACGCCACAGAGAAGGCCACGCAAAAGTACTTTTTTATTTGGAATTGTGGGGCCTCCTCCTACACCCTAAGAGACTGGAAGGCAGCACCTGGTGATTTCCTGAAGGACAGACATCATCCTGTTTCTTGTCCAACCACTTGCCATTGGCCAGTGGCATAATAATAGAGGAAATCATGTTTGTTTAATAAGTAGTGAGATGATGGATAGGTTGCATACTGTTTGTCTTTTCTCAGACTCTTTTTAAAGGGTTGTGTTTTTTTTAATATTTGTCTTATTTAATGATGCTTTTGGGGGGAAATTTTTTTAAGCACTATTTCTGTATTTTGTCACAGGGCATTCTTGGCTCAGGTTTTGCATTAAAAGTACAAGAACAGCACCGCCAGAAACACTTTGAGAAAAGACGGAACCCAGCTGCCAACCTCATTCAGGTAAATGTCAGTGCACCAGGAGCACGGCCCTCCCTGCAGGGGTGCTGGGTCGGGAACCAGTCTCTCTGTGGCCTCACTTGCAAGAGCTACCCTTTGGTTTTGTTTTTAAACATGATGCTAGAACTTACTGCACAGTCTCGGATTTGTTCATGGGCTCCCCACTCCCAAACAGAAAAAGTAATACCTATTTTTAATCAATGGTCCGTGCTTTGTTTGCATTCATTAACCATGCCAGCAAGGCCACAGGGGCTTCCATGGTGGCTCGGTGGTAAAGAACCTGTCTGCTAATGCAGGAGACCCAGCTTTGAGACCTGAGTTGGGAAGATCCCCTGAAGAAGGAAATAGCAACCCACTCCAGTATCCTTGCCTGGAGAATCCCATAGACAGAGGAGCCTGGCAGGCTACAGTCCATGGGGATCACAAAGAGTCAGACACGACTTAGCAACTACACAGCAACAACAAGAAGCAAGGCCACACAGGTGTTAGCAAGGCCGTGCTGCTCCTGGAATGGCCTGATTTCATGAGCTACTTGGTGAAACACCATTGATCATTCAGGATGGAGCAAAAAGCCTACACTGCAGTTACCTTCTGCGGCCAGGTGTATGTGGCAGTTCTGAAGAATAACACATTTATTCAGAACGTCAAGGTTTAGTACTTGGGGGATCACTTTTAATGCCGTCTAGAGCAATATCTAGAAATACTTATTCTAATAACTGGTGTTATGGAGTTCATCAGTGCTTGAGCACATTGAAAAGTGAAAGTCGCTCAGTCTTGTCCAACTCTTTGTGACCCCGTGGACTTAGTCAATGGAATTCTCCAGGCCAGAATCCTGGAGTGGGCAGCCTTTCCCTTCTCCAGGGGATCTTCCCAACCCAGGGATCGAACCCAGATCTCCCACATTGCAGGCAGATTCTTTATCAGCTGAGCCACAAGGGAAGCCCTTGAGCACATTACTTGAAGCTAACTCATAATGTATAGGTTCGGCATTTAATCTTCTTTTCAGTAACTCAGGGTTTGCTTCGTCAGTAAAGGAATGCTTCTCTTTTGTCCTCCATGTCTCTGGGGAGCAGAACCACCCTGGAAAACAGGTTAAAAATCACAAATATGTTTTCCTCTGGATCCATGCTGTGGAGTTCATATTTAATTACAGCAGAGATGATTATGTAATATCCTCCCTGCCAGGCGGCAGACAACCCAGAGCTGCAGAACCATAGGCTCTGGGGCGGTGGCTGCGGTTTCTGCAACAGGAACAAGCATGTTTTCACTTACGCTGTGGGTTTCGGGAGAGGGAGGGGGCCAGCGGCCAGGACACAGCAGCCCTCCTGCAGCCTTTGCTTATGGCTTGTGAAGCTGACACCTCCTGCAGAACTGGGCTGAGGGGAGGAGGGGCTCAGCAACATCAGGAAGGGGGTCCATCTGTTTCTGCGGCCACAGGAGGGTGTCAGTGTTTAAACAAAGCTGTTCCCTGACGCCCAATGCGAACCACTGAGGGACTCTAGTTTTTAACTTTCCAGGTTTAAAGGGGCTCCAAAGATAAAACTCTGTTTTCCTGAAGGAAAGATCCCTGAATAGCGGGAGTTTAAGATCTGAGGCCGAATGATGAGGGGTGATGAAGGAGAGCGTCCGCACCCCAGAGCACAGAAGACACCCCCACACTGTGGAGCTTAACTGACTACAAGGTGTCCCCACATCTAATGCAGTTTTCTCCTTGCTGTTTTTCTCTTTCAATTCCTCTTTAATGTATACATCTTTCAGTTCTTGAAGGATGCTTTCTAGCCTGTGAGCACAGAGTTACTCCCTGGGTTCCTCGAATCCATTTGAGCACAAGCCCTGTCCACCTGGGGAACAGAAAACTCACCTTACACATGCCTGATCTCAGGAGCACAGCCATGCCGCTGGCATGAATAATGATCACATTTACTGAAGACCCGAAAAAGATATTGTTTTATTCGCTTTTTTTATTTTGTATATTTTCTCAATCAATGTGTGCTCAAAGTACAACCACTTCTGTGTACAGATCCTTGATAATTGTGGATATAAAAGGGGACTCTTGTCAAAAAACATCTTAGGCTCGCCACTGTCCTGTTGGAAAATGAGGCCCCTGCAGGATTTCTGAGGCTCGGATCCGTTGTGATGACAGAGCTGACAGCTGTGCCCCAACACAGTTTCCAGTGGCTGCAGGTGGCTGCTTACATTTAGAAGTTCAGTTCCTGGATGGAACCAACCATGTCTCAGGTGCTCACTAGCCAGATGCTGGCTCTACTACTGCATGAGACAGACACAGAGAATAATAGGAGGGAATTTCTGATCTAACTCATCGTTATTAGCTAATAAATTGTGAAAAAAAAATTTCCAATTGAACTTGAAAACAGATTATATTTCCTGCAAGAAATCTCTGGGCCAGAGGCACTTCTATGCCAAGAGCCATACAGAGCTAGGCCAGAACACTCTCTGAAGTCACCCATAGAAAGCAACAAGGCTGATTGCAAAGCTTACTTAAAGATTTAGATTTTTATTTTATGGAACAGGGTAAGGTAACATATTGTGATCAATAACTGAACTTGTACCAAGATGGGCAACAGTGGAGTAAAATCTTTTATCTTTTTTACTTAAAGTTCTATATGGTATTCTAAACAAAAAAGAATTTAAAATGAAAAGCTCTAAGTGTTGAAGAATACCTTTAAACCTAATCATAGTTTCATCAAAGTAGATTCTACCAATTTAAAAAGCAACTGTTGCCCTGTCCAAATGTAATTAATCTATTTATTCAATCCAAGTGTAATTAATTAATTTATTCAGTTCAGGTCAGTCACTCAGCCATGTCAAACTCTTTGAGACCCCATGGACTGCAGTATACCAGGCTTCCCTGTCCATCACCAATTCCTGGAGCTTACTTAAACTCATGTCCATTGAGTCGGTGATGCCATCCAACTATCTCATCCTCTGTCATCCCCTTCTCCTCCTGCTTTCAATCTTTTCCAGCATCAAGGTCTTTTCCAAAGAGTCAGTTCTTTGCGTCAGGTGGCCAAAATATTGTAGTTTCAGCTTCAGCATCAGTCCTTCCAATGAATGTTCAGGACTGATTTCCTTTAGGATGGACTGGTTGGATCTCCTTGCAGTCCAAGGGACTCTCAAGAGTCTTCTGCAACACCACAGTTCAATTTCCCAATTTAGAACCAGTCTGTTGTTCCATGTCCAGTTCTAACTGTTGCTTCTTGACCTGCATACAGATTTCTCAGGAGGCAGGTAAGGTGGACTGGTATTCCCATCTCTTGAAGAATTTTCCACAGTTTATTGTGATCCACACAGTCAAAAGCTTTGGCATAGTCAGTAAAGCAAAAGTTTTTCTTTTTTGATGATCCAAGGGATATTGGCAATTTGATCTCTGATTCCTCTGCCTTTTCTAAATTCAGTTTGAATTAATTTATTAGATTAAAAAATAATACTAAAATTATTAAATATGTTTATTGTTTTTCCTTGCTGTAACCCCTACTCAGAAGTCAGGGCTTCATGTTTTGATTATAGATTATAGGAATTTATTTGAAGGATCCTTTAGATTAAAAGCAAGCTTCACTTGCTGATCCATCCATTTTCTAACCCAATTAACCTGCCTTGGTTTGCTGACCACACAAAGCATCAAGACCAAGACCAGTCTCATCTGTTTGGGGCCAGAGTTGCTGTCTGTGTGCAGGGCCCTGGAGAGGCCCAGAATGCTCTGTCAGTCGGGCAGCAAGGCAACTAAATTAACAGCATTTCAGGGTTGTATAGAAAAGTTTAAAACTTCAGCAGCTTGCAACAAATTTAGTTGTATCAATATCTTTGCATGATTCATTTAAGTTATATTTTCCTTTCAAGTAGACCTGCCTGGGAAAAGAAAGCAACTATCAGTGATGTTTAGAATACCTGCCCAGTGTCACCACTTGCGTTAATAATGTCTGAGACTTGTGACGTGCCTCTTGATGTGCGGTGTGTTTCTACTCCATTCTGTCACTTGATCCCCAGGACAAGCCTAGAAAGAGGGAGGACTCAAGTCCTTGGTGTTGGAATCTGAATCCAGTGCACTGGATGTACCCAGTGCCTCATGGATACGTCCCTGAAGCCTGAGGATTAGTATTTCAAGGTCCTTCAGAAGTTGCATGTGAGGAGTTTCCTTGGCACCAGTTCAGGGTGGAGCCAAGGTACTTTGTAGAAAACAGAAAAACAGGTGGATGAAATAAGCTTGTGAGGTGAATGCTGACAGGGGAGCTTATATTCCTGAGGGAAGAGATAAAAAGATGCTGTTCTGGGGTTTCTCTGGGGGTCTAGTGGTTGGGAACGGGCCTTGCAGTGCAGGGAACAGGAGTACTGCTCCTGGCCTGGGGAGACCCTTCATGCTGTGGAGCAGCTGTCCTCTGTTCCGCAGCTGCTGACGCTCACGTGCCCTGGAGCCTGTGCTCGGCCACAGAAGCCACCACAGTGAGAAGCTCTGCACTTCCACTCCTCTGCCAGTGAGTGGTTCCCCGTCACCACAACTAGAAAAAGCCTGTGCAGAGATAAAGACCCAGCACATGAGAAATAAATAAAATACTTTCAGAAAAGAATTGCAATTATATATATAACAAAAGAAGATGCTGTTCTGGAGAAATGAGTTGGCCCCAATGGAAAGCAAACTGTATGTTGAAACGTTGGCTTCCTCCCATGAAAGAATTGAGCCTTTATCCCGTTACCCTGAAGTGAGGCCCCTAAAGTAAACTCAGACCACTGACACAGACCTTGTACATCTTTGGTAATGCTTCAGTCATAAATAAGGGCAGACGCTGAAAAGAAAATCATCCTAGATATGAAAAACATGACTTCAGAAAAGGAGATAAAACTGAAAATCTCACCAAAAGGAGAATAAGAAGACAGAGATGAAAAAAGAAACAAAAAATGTAGGAAATTTGGAACACAATTCCAGAAGATCAAATATTCAGCCAACATAAGTACCTCAAAAAGAGTCCAGGGAAACTGAAGGTAGCATT